TAATAATAAAAAAAAATAAATTTTAAAAAAAATTATAATATACTGTCTTGGTGATCAGCGAAAAAAAATATGGGAAAAGCGGAATTAAAAAAAAAAAAAAAAATTAAAAGGACACAACCAAACAGTAAGGGTGTCTTTAAAAAGCCTTCATCAGCGAACAAACAACAGTTACAAACATAATTTTTTTAAAAAATAACACTTTAACTGAAATGTAGATTTCGGAGAATTGAGCATGTTTTATTCAAAAATACCGTCTTTGGAAGACAAACAACAACACGACGTGTAGGATTAGACCTTCTGACTCTAAATCCTATCGCATCCACCAGCGTTCATTCAAGATGACCAAGTCGGCATCGGAATCATGAGACCTCGTCTGTAACAATCTTTTCAATTGTTTACTACTACAGTAAAAAGTGGATTTCTTTTTAAATTGCTGCACTAGAAAGTGATTCTGGGGATTTTACTTCGGGGGGGGGGGGGGGGTTGTGAAAGGGACAAAATATTTTATTGTGAATGGAAAAAAAATTTAAAAAAAAAAAAAAAAACCAACAAAAAAAAAACAAAAATAAAAAAAAAAAAAAAAAAAATGCAGGGCAACGATTCGACAGAAGGCGAATTTCTCCTTGAATGGGGAATTTTTTCTTCTCCAATTAATTATCACACTAGGCAAGTAAAAAAATAAAAATAAAATTAACTAAAGTTGTTAAATACAGAGAGGAACAAAGGTGTGTATGTATGTGTGTGTATGTGTGTGTGCAGGGCCGTCTTTACAGTAGCCGAGACCCTGTTCACGGTAATGCACTAAAGCCCCAACCCTCTATATACTCAGGGGCGCGCGAACGTGGGGGCGAGAGGGCCAATCACCACTAGCGCCAATATCAGGCCATTAATAGTGGCGATAATAATTAGACGATAAAATCCCAGTGAGTCTCCTAGAAGCCTGATGCCCTGGGCCTGTGCACAGCGGAGCAATGCCTTAAGACGGCACTTTGTGTATGTGTGTGGGGTGGGGGGAGGAGGGGGAGGGGTGTTAATCAAGGGATGTAACTCCAATAATAATTGAACAATAAACTTAACGATGCTGCTTCCCAACGTTAAAGACTTGAAAATAATCGTTTAAATTTCACACTAGACATAATTAACAATTTAAACATCATTTAGAGTTCGGACCTAGAAATATAATTTTAACGCGATACATTTTTGAATCGTGAATCCAAGGGTATGCTGTAACATTTAGTAACATTTAAATATCTCGGAGATAATCGACGCCTTTTGAAATATACGCTCAACACCATTGCTCAAGTCCAGTGAAATATTTTATTATTATTATTTTCCTTTCAGATCGGTCATAATCAGTGTCCATCATTAAGACTGGCAAACGGTTGTCACGAGCAGGTCTCTGATGGCCGCCAGCACGTTGAAGTCGCTGACCTGGAACACGAGATTCGGTGACGAGGCGATGGCCTGCAGCTCGCCGGCACCGCTGTTGCTGTCCATGCCCACCCCGATGGCAATGACGGTGACTCCAGAATTTTTCAGATTCGAGGCTTCGGTGGCTGTTGCTGTCGCTGCAGGTGATAAAATGGGGTGGAGGTGGGTGGGTTGGATTGTTAGTACGGTAGGTGTCAGTATCTTTTTTTTTTTTTTACACATTTGGACTGCACTAAATCTAAAGTAGCTAAAAGACATCAGAGGACTACAATAAATCTAAAGTAGATGAAAAAGACATCAGAGGACCACAATAAATCTAAAGTAGATGAAAAGACATCAGAGGACCACAATAAATCTAAAGTAGATAAAAAGACATCAGAGGACCACAATAAATCTAAAGTAGATGAAAAGACATCAGAGGACCACAATAAATCTAAAGTAGATGAAAAAGACATCAGAGGACTGCAATAAATCTGAAGCAGATAAAAAAAGACACCAGAGGACTGCAATAAATCTAAAGAGCATAAAAAGACATCAGAGGACTGCAATAAATCTAAAGAGCATAAAAAGACACCAGAGGACTGCAATAAATCTAAAGAGCATAAAAAGACATCAGAGGACTGCAATAAATCTAAAGAGCATAAAAAGACACCAGAGGACTGCAATAAATCTAAAGAGCATAAAAAGACATCAGAGGACTGCAATAAATCTAAAGAGCATAAAAAGACACCAGAGGACTACAATAAATCTAAAGTAGATGAAAAAGACATCAGAGGACCACAATAAATCTAAAGTAGATGAAAAGACATCAGAGGACCACAATAAAAATAAAGTAGATGAAAAAGACATCAGAGGACTGCAATAAATCTGAAGCAGATAAAAAAAGACACCAGAGGACTACAATAAATCTAAAGTAGATGAAAAAGACATCAGAGGACCACAATAAATCTAAAGTAGATGAAAAGACATCAGAGGACCACAATAAAAATAAAGTAGATGAAAAAGACATCAGAGGACTGCAATAAATCTGAAGCAGATAAAAAAAGACACCAGAGGACTGCAATAAATCTAAAGAGGATAAAAAGACACCAGAGGACTGCAATAAATCTAAAGTAGATAAAAAAAGACACCAGAGGACTGCAATAAATCTAAAGAGGATAAAAAGACACCAGAGGACTGCAATAAATCTAAAGAGGATAAAAAGACATCAGAGGACTGCAATAAATCTAAAGAGGATAAAAAGACACCAGAGGACTGCAATAAATCTAAAGTAGATAAAAAAAAGACATCAGAGGACTGCAATAAATCTAAAGAGGATAAAAAGACACCAGAGGACTGCAATAAATCTAAAAAGGATAAAAAGACGTCAGAGGACTGCAATAAATCTAAAGAGGATAAAAAGACATCAGAGGACTGGAATAAATCTAAAGAGGATAAAAAGACACCAGAGGACTGCAATAAATCTAAAGTAGATAAAAAAAAGACATCAGAGGACTGCAATAAATCTAAAGAGGATAAAAAGACACCAGAGGACTGCATTAAATCTAAAGTAGATAAAAAAAAAGACACCAGAGGACTGCAATAAATCTAAAGTAGATAAAAAGACACCAGAGGACTGCAATAAATCTAAAGTAGATAAAAAAAAGACACCAGAGGACTGCAATAAATCTAAAGTGGATAAAAAGACGTCAGAGGACTGCAATAAATCTAAAGAGGATAAAAAGACACCAGAGGACTGCAATAAATCTAAAGTAGATAAAAAAAAGACATCAGAGGACTGCAATAAATCTAAAGTAGATAAAAAGACACCAGAGGACTGCAATAAATCTAAAGTAGATAAAAAAAAGACACCAGAGGACTGCAATAAATCTAAAGTAGAT